TCAGAACTGCTATAATTGGTTCCAGGTCACCCAAACTTAGTTTAAGACATTAGCTATTAATGGGTCATGACTAAGAAATTAGGTGAGAATTGAGTTCACTGCAACTTCAGGAGTAGCCATCTCAGAGGTACCTTGGGGTCTTTGGGAGAGGTTGAGGGCAGCTGCCTGAGGGTCCGACCAAAGTTCTGTCATTTTTCAGGCCTCCAGGRGCCTGGCAGCAACTACCTCAGTCTTATCCCGAATGTATATGCCTTTTAAAATGACATCCATGTATATGTTTCCCCGTAAGCAAAAAAGTGATGGTAGATAGTTCATGATGGAAATTGCAAAGTATAGAAAAGTMTGTCAAAGAAACAAAACCTCCGTCAGGGTCTAACCACAGTCTCAATGTTAAGAGGTTGCCGAGGTCAGGCACACCTGCGTGTGTCCTGGCCTCACATAACCTCTCCAGTCTTAATGTAACGTCTTCTCATCTGAACTGACATAGTCCACCTCACACGGCTTGTGTGAGGGTTAAGTAAGGATGTGTGTGTGTGTGTGTGTGTGCACACGTGCAGTTGTTATCATTTCTTCCAATAGTTTGGGGTATTTTTTTCAGCTTTTTGGGTACATATCAGTATTTATTGATCATTGTTTGATAGCAGCTGCCCCCTCCCCTACATCCGGGCATTCCAAATGTCCCTGGCAGAGGCAAGACTATGTCCAGAGGACTCAGGTGAAGAGACAGAGTGAAGCTGGACTGGGAGAGTGGATGGTAAGGARGGTATTGTTTGGAAAATGAGGCCCAGAGCTCCTTCTCTGCACACTCTCAGAGAATTAGGCAAAACCCAGAGCCCAGAGYGCCTGGCAACCTCCCTATAGATCCTCCATCTTGGTGTGTAGCTATGGCAACTGTCTTTCAGATTCTCTGGGACAGTTCTACATGGCCAGYTATCTAACTGTGGTCCAGACAGAGGCAGCAACGGGCAACTGCATCTAAAAGTGAAACACAAGAAGTGTTATTCCACTGACATTTCTGCCTTTCAGAGGAAACCAGTCTTCTTATTTTGACAACAGCTGTTCCGAGATTATTCCTTCTGCAAAAGGAAGGGAAGAGAGCAGCTCCCGCCACTGCCCTGGATCGAGTGCAGCTCACAGATGGGCAGCYCACAGGCTTTGGATTAAAGCAGATTTAGGAGCAAATCCCTGCTCCACCAATTACTGGCAGGGTGAAATTTTCAATGTGTCCAAGGTTTCCTCTTCTCATTTTCAAATGGGGATGGTAATGCCTGTCTCATAGCTGTGTTCATAATTAAGTGAGGAACATATGAAATATGCCAAAGTATGCAGTATCTGACACAAAATAATTCTCCAATATTATTGATATTTTCAATTTTGGAGATCACAGAGTAGAAAGGAACCCAAGTGTCAGCAAAAAGACAAACAGATGCAGGAACATGGCATAAGAAGTTATCAGTAGAACACAGTCGAAGGGACATGTCTCCTGGTAGCTGTTAAGAGAGGGCTCAGGACCAGAAGTAACCAGTGCACAGTCAGAGGTGGACCTGGGAACATGATGACAACCCTGATCACACACTGTAGCCCAGATCCACATGGTCTTGTAAAGAGGGTCGGCCAAACTAAGGAGCACAAGAAGATGGTCAACAAAGGCTGGGCCAGAACAGAGACTATCACTGAAATTCATATTTCATTAATTATTTGTGGTAAAGGACTGTTATACAAATTTGTTTCAGACCAATGTTTTCATTTTTTAAAAAATACTGTAGCAATGTCAAATTACTATCAAAGTTTCTAATTGCCAACTTAAAATTTTTGCTCTTGTTGAGAACCAGTTTCAACTCTGTGTAACACTGGCTTAAGAGGTCTTGTTTGCTTTTTTTTTTTGTGTGTGTGTGTGTGTGTGTGCTTATGATTGTTGTTTTTGATTCGTTTTGTTTGCTAGTTGCATAATGAGCGGGAATTGGAATTTTAAAATCAGTCTTTCTTCATAATGATGTGGAGCCCATTATCCACTCATTTGCTTATAAGAAGCGAATGTGGTTCTCATCTAATGGCATGAGCTTGGACATGGCCACACTGTCCAGGAAATCCCAGGAGGACAGCGGGGTTGGTGGTAAGAGAGATGGTGAGGCTCTGAATTTTGGAGACTTCATCTCAGCACACCTTTCTCCCTGATTTTAGGCAAAACCCTATCAGAAGAATGAATATTCATATSTATTACAATAATATTATAATCAATAAGAATATGTAATAGATATTATATTAACATAATATAATAACAAAAATGCATTTCTCTAAGGGGCAGAAATAGAGATGTACTAACTGTTGTAGGGACAAAGGAGGCAAGGCACCGAAGATAGCAGGAAACAGTTTTATTTGGCTGCAGCCAGGTTCAGAGGGCAGAGCTTTTGCTGCAATCAATCAATCCCCTGAACCCCGAGTTCGGGAGTTTCAGAGTTTTATACCCAGCATGTAAGGGGAGGGGCTCAGAAGTTTACAATCTGTAAAAKTTCACATAAAAGCAGCTTTTTCTTTCACTGCTCTGGGCATGTTAACCCTTCAAGGACAACACCTGAGAAGGGGAGAGCTTCTKCTCCCCTTTCTTTCCTCCCCCTGCCAGCTGTTACCATGGAGCCCATTTGTAACTTATCTGAAAAATGTAGACATCTCTGTGAAGCCCAGCTCAAGGTCAGAGGCCTTGTTTGCATAGTTCTACAAAGTACTATACTGGATATGTTTGTGAAAAACTAGTAAGGGGGTGTCCAGCACCTGGAGTGCTGGTATCTTCTTGGCCAGTGGCCAAGTAAACAGGGTGACACGAAAATAGGAAGTTTATCTACATTGGACTCTTTTGCTGACAGTCCTAAAATTAGCCATGGTGAAGAGGGCTTTTSTGTGGAGAAAGGGGGTGCCACTTCAGTTCTACCCACTAAGCAGCTCCCCAAGCATCCCCCACCCATCACTCTCCCTTCCAGATCATTGAGTGCACCAGATCCGTCCTTTAGAAATGACACCACGGTGCTGATGTTCTGCTCACAAAAGCCTTCATGGCTTCATAAGACCCTGTGTAAAGTCACGCCCCCTCTCTCAGCCACTTCCACAACTATCTCCCAGCCTAACCTCTCCACTCCAGGCCAGGCCATTTCTTCTGTGCCCCTCTGACTTCTCGACCCTTTTTCTTCCAGGAGAACCCAAACCTCTGCCTTCTGGCTGCCTTATTTCCTCTCATCCATTAGGACCAGACACAAATCCACCTCTTCTGCAAAGCCATCTGCTTCCCCAGCTCCCTCTGAGCTCTCCCTTCTCTAACACCACTTGCAGATCTTGTCCCTGCCTCGGGTCTCCTCACAGCCTGCATCACTCTCCATCTTTCATGTGAGACATAATACCAAAAGCTGCCCTGTTCCTCTTTCGTGCCCTTTGTCCCACCACCACCACAAGGAATCTAAGACTGTGCCTGTAACCACAAACCCCCAAATACCCAATGGACTGAAGATTCAGTCAAMTAGAAGGAGAAGGAGAAGAGAGAGTCAAGGAAGAGAAATAGGATAAGGAAGAGAAAATAATTTTGTTTTTCTCTTGAATGCCTGGTTTGCCTTCACCATTTCCCAGATTTATAGACAATTTGAAAGGAAAGGGCCTTAAAAATCATAGGGCCCAATGATGTGATGCTAACTATGAAGACTTGTTGAAAACTAAACACAACTGCCCTAAGTTAATCAAAAGTATACCATTTAAGAGCTGTGTGACCTTAGAGATGTCATTTAACATCATTGTTCTTCAGTTTTCTGTCTTTGAAGTGTGAATAATATAATAATTACTTGTGGCGCTATGTGAATATTAAGTGAGATGATGTATGTGAAGCACTTGGACAGAGTCTGAACCATGGAAAACATCCAGTCATTGTTAGGGAAGAGAGCCCTGGGCTGGGGTTGTGGCTCAGAGGTAGACCGCTCGCCTACCATGTGTGAGGCCCTGGGTTTGATCTTCAGCACCACATGAAAATAAAATAAAGACATTGTGCCCACCTATAAGTAAAAAATAAATATTTTTTTTAAAAAAGAGAGAGAGAGAGAGCCCTGCCTAGATGACATCACAAGAGTGTGCTTCAAGACATACAAAGCAAAATTTACCCAGAGTTGGTCACAATCTATCAATGGATTGTGAAAGCAATTTATGGGGATGTTGCTGTGGCTTGAATGTTTGGGTTCTCCCAAAATTTGTATTTTAATCCCCCAAGGTGATGATATGAGGTGGGACTTTTGGAAAGTGATAAGATCATGAAGGTTGTCCCACCAGTCAATGGGATTAATGCCCTGAGAGGCTCCAGAAAGCTGTCTTCCCCTTTAACCATAAGAATATACCTGTCAGGTGCCATTTATAAGGAATGGTCCCTCACAAGATACCAAATAAGCCAGCACCTTGATCTTGGACTTCCCAGTTCTAAAACTATGAGAAATGCTTTCTGTTGTTTATAAACTAGCCCCACTTAAGGTATTTTGTTATAGCAGCTCAAATGGACTAAGTCAGGTAAGCATACCTACATCTGTGTCTATTTCTACTTGAATTTTGGGTCATGATATAAAATGTATTTATAACTGGGAATCACTGTTAAACAAGTTGGAAAGCCACTATATTTAAATGTTCCACAAATAAAATTGAAGTGGCACACCAAACCACATGTAGAGTGCAAGATGTCACCTTAAGAAAAATTTCATCTTCCATCTTTCCTGGACCTTGGTTTTTCCATTGACACCACAGTCTTGTTAATATTGCCTTAATTTTTCTTGCATCTGACATGTGACACATATCCCCTGGTTGCTTCACTAATTAACATAGAGAGGATTCCTTACACAGAGGACCGAATTCTTTGGGCCTAGGGTCTGGTCTAATGGGCGTCTTTCTCCATCAGATGGAACGTGTGGAAACCTCAAGGACAGAGGAGAGCTTCTGGCTTTCAAATCTACTTAAGCCAATAACTTTCTCTTGCATTTTTCCAGTGATTCTGTCACCCACATTGTAGCAGAGAACAATTCCGGTTCCGATGTCCTGGAGTGGCTTCAGGTACAGAACGTCAAAGCCAGCTCGAAGCTGGAGCTGCTGGACATCTCCTGGCTGATAGAGTGCATGGGGGCAGGGAGACCAGTGGAGACAACAGGGAAACACCAGCTTGTTGTGAGTGTCCTGCCTGTGATTGTCATTGCTCTTTGCTTGGCAGACAAACAACATGGGCTTKAGAATCAATGGATCTGGGTTAAATCCTAGTTCCCGGTTTACTTCCTATGTGACCTTCGCTTTGCTGGGCTACAGTTTTCTCCTTTGTGATACAACATGAATGCCACCTAATGACAGGGCACAAAGATTAGATAACATGCACGGATAGCCCTTCCAGGGCCTGATAGCGAGTACAGGCACTGAGTACAYGGAGGCTATTTTTATGAACACATTTATACACAAATATTTCAAAAATATGTAAGCCTAGATATTCTGAAAGCCAGAAAAATAAAGGATTCCTTTTTTTTTTTCCTTATTGTGATCATTAAGGAAGAAAAGTCAAGTTTAGCTTTCAATGCCAAAATCTTGAGCATTAGTGCCATAACTTGGGGGAAGAGGGCTTGGACAGTAACAACATAAGTTCACAGAAAAGAAAAATGATAATTTATTGGAGATCCTTTTTCATGTTTTTTTTCCTGATTTCCAAAAAATACATGTTAAGGATAACAGATTTAAACATTAGAGATGTATGTAACTTGGAATTTGAGGCTCCTATAATTCTATCCATCAAACTGCCTTCAATTTGTTTCCTCATATATACCTGGATATTAATTGTTGCTTAACATGGACCTTATGCATTTGTTCAGGTGAGAAGAGACAGCCCAGACCACTCCAACTCAGACCCTCAGAGGATCCCACCACCTGCTGTGCAAACAATCTCTCAGTATGCATGTCAGAGAAGAACAACTTTAAACAATTGCAATAGAGTATTCACGGTAAGAGGGCTTTGCCAATGAAGGGCTTGCTGTGCCTTTCGGTGGGTCTCCAAGTTAAATTATGGGAGTTGTTTTTGAAATCTGAAAAAGGTTTCTACACACACACACACACACACACACACACACACACACACCCATCCCTCTAGCCTGATCTCTGGTTCTTCATCTGTCAAGAATGGTCTCTTCTCTTGGAAAAATACATCTGGATAATATGATGTAGGGATTCCTATTTATTGAGAGTTGTCATTAATAGAAACAATACTTTCAAAAAGAGATATTCTAAAAAAATGAAATAATGTAATTAGTGCAAAATTGAGTAAAAGCAAATTRCCTAGCAACAATGCATCCATAGCCTTTGCTAGAAGCCAAAAGACTGAGTCCACAGACCTGGATTCCCGCTGAATGTTAATTGGCCTGGGCAAATCCATTGCCCTGAGCCTCAGCTTCCTCATCCTGACAATAAGAACTCAGCTGGATCATCTCTGTAGCCCTGCCCCGCCCTGAAGTGTCTCAAATGACCCTAGCAAGTCCACAACTGCTAGCCTAGTGGTCAGTGGTTGCCTGAATAAAACATGCCATACGATATCAAACACAGAGTTGCTCATTTCTAGACCTCCAGTCTCATATCTGCCAGGAAGACCAGGACATTGCAGCTCCTGGGCCCTCTCAGCGTGATGTCACACACAGCAGGTGCTTCCTCTTCTCCTAGCAGTGCAAACATGCCCCACCTTAGATAACCCTGCGGGGGGGGGGGTCAGTGTGACCAATGAGTGCACCCACTCACTTATCAAGCCTATGTTAAGTGCCAGCTATGTTCTGTGTACACACTAAGAGACAAATGCCCGGTGGTCATAGCAGARCCCTTGCCTCAGGCTGTGGGAACCAGGGAAGAATCATGCCAAGTCATGGCCAGTGGGATGTGGTGAGCTAAATCTTTCCTGAGCACCTAACGGCAGCAAACTCAGTTTCCTCACCATGCACTCGACACACCTGTCTTTTCTGTTCAACTCCATGCCATCCCACGGGGAGGATACAAAGGTACTGGAGGCCTGCTCCCCACCGTGGAGGAATGCCATCAGATGGCATTCTACTATGTAAAGGAAAGACAACCCGAGGCGTTTGCAAGTGAACACTGGCTCRGGGCTCAGAAACAGAACTTTTGTTTATGTGGTTTTATTCTTCAGGATGCTTTTGACGTCTTAGCTGAAAATTATGAGCTTAGAGAAAATGAAGGCTGTTCTGTGGTATTTATGAGAGCCGCGTCTGTACTGAAATCTCTGCCATTCACCATCAGCAGCATGAAGGACCTAGAGGGAATTCCCTGCCTGGAGGGCAAGGCGAAGAGCATCATCGAGGTAAGGGTGAAGGGAAGTTTGTCTCAGCTCTTAATAGGAGAGTAGAGATGGAGACAGAGAGGATTATGAATATCCGATCTACATAATTGAAAGGAAAAWCTGTCATCTCTCTCCATCTCAACGTGTATCTATTCATGTATTTATATAGGAAAAAAGATAGATGCATACACATGTATGATTTGTACCCAAGATTATCACAATGGGAGCTATCTGGGGCCAGCTAGTGGAAAAAGAAGAGTTCCCCCATGTTGTTATTACTTGCAGTGAAAGACTCAAGGGAACRGGAAGCTCACCAGCAGGAGATTGGTCTGACTCCGACAGGCTGTGTGGACAGCTCAGTTCCACCCAGGGTTGGTCCCCTCCACAACAGTGGTCGGCATGACATGTGGAGACCCTGATTCTACAGGTCTACCTGTGTGATCTAGAAAGACAGCCACTGTTTCTGTATTTAGCAATGTGTAAGTTTCCTCCAGAAGGCAAGTGGGTGATTCAGTGGTAGCTTCAGTGTAGTCAAGTACATTCATAATACAAGGAAAATATCCCAAGTTTACTTAGAGGCGGGGACGCCAAGGGCATTGAATGGGCTTGAACAAGGACTGGCTTTTTTTCAGTGGGTCCTAAATTAAYCTGCACAATAGAAAAGTTCTCCTATTTTAGCAAGTCGATAGCCATTAAAAAGAAAATTATCACAAATCTGTGGGCATACGTTTGTCAATAAACATTTTGGTTTGGGATCTGTAGATTTGAACCTAGTACTTCTGTATCCTTGTCCTTGAGGATCATAAAGAGGTCTTTGGATACATGATGAGCTAGGATTTTGGATTACAGGAAAATCCTTGTTTTCTCTAGATTAGCAGGGAAACATGCTACAGCAATGGGTGTGCATGTCATGAGGAATCAAGCCACTCGATCTGTAAATGTGAGAGTCTTGAATTGTGATTGTCCAGTGTCACAAATTTAAAATACTTTTCCAATTGTCCATAGGAAATCATTGAAGATGGAGAAAGTTCTGAAGTTAAAGCTGTCTTAAATGATGAACGCTATAAATCCTTCAAAGTAAGTGATGTTACATGTTTATTGAAAATGGTTTTACAATTAATCTTCTTGCTTATTCTGGCTGGTTTTATTAGTCAGTTCAGGCTGCCAAAATAAAATGCCATCGATTGGGTAGCTTAAACAATAGAAATGTRTTTTCTCCCAGTTCTGGATTCTGAATATACTAAATCAAAGTATCAGAGTGGTCGGATTCTGTTAAGAGCTCTCCTTCTGGCTTGCGTATGGCTGCCTTCTTGCTGTGTATTCTCATGGCTGATAAAGAGGTGATCAAACTCTTTGGAGTCTTATAAGAGCACAAATCCCATCATGAGGGTCCAGCCTCATGACCTCATCTAAGCTTAATTACCTCCAAAATGCCCATGTCCAAACACCATGATGGTGGTTTTAGGGCTTCAGCATATAAATTTGAGTGAGGGTGGTGATTTTGTCCTTTGCAGATTTCTAGAAAAAAAGATGCCTAAATAAATATGGGTGTTCCAGCATATCACCATGCRATGATGATATGCCAATTACCTTTCTTTCCATGAATCTCTCACTGGTGGCTACAAATGTCATAAGGACACAAAGACCAAGCAGACCAAACAAAGTGCTCTTGCGGAGCACAGCTGTATCTGAAAAGCTCCTTGCTGCATCCTCATTTACTCAGAAGCAGGGCTTACATCTAGTCTGCCCTAGAGTTGCAGGTAGACTGACTTCAGCCAGTCCCTTCTGTTCAGAAATGGTGCACAGGCCTAAAGTGTGGCCATGAGCAGGAGCCCAGGTCTGGAGTACAGATAGACCAGGGTTTAATCTGGGTTCTACCTCTTAGCACCCGTGTGATGGGGAGAATTTATATAACCTCCATGAGCATCCCTCTTTCAAATGCGGAGGTAGATGTGCACAGCAGCATTGCCTGCATGAGACTCTCAGCAAAAGTGGGCGCTCCGTAGGGGTATTTTCTCACTAACAGCACAGACGATCTGTCTGATTACATGCAAACCAGGCCTGCCTCTCACTGCTCAGCTGGAACAAAAATCCACTAAAAAATTACCATCACCTGTCTGGTTGGAATATTCCATAGACACTGGATAGCAGTTCTGATCCGTTACCTGAGATCTTGAAAAGTACCACTTCATTGTCATAGTGATTATTTTAAAAACTAATGGCTTGGCTTTCCCTCCCTTTTAGCTCTTCACTTCTGTTTTTGGAGTGGGATTGAAGACATCTGAGAAATGGTTCAGAATGGGTTTCAGAACTCTGAGCAAAATAAGATCTGACAAAAGCCTGAAATTGACACACATGCAGAAAGCAGGTAATGGTCTCTCCTAAACCTCAGGGTTCTCTGGGATGGTCAGGTTTGGTAGAGATCGTAGCCAGTTGCACTTTGATGCCCGTGAGGGTGAGCCACAACAGTTTTTAATATCTGTTGATGTTTGAAACCAAGTCTTGGCTCCAGCACCATCCAACTGCATGATCTCAAACAAGTTAGTTAAAACCTTCAGGCCTTGGTTACCTCATTGATGAAAGGGAGGCAAGGTTGACAGTTAACAGGGAAATGCAGGCAGAGCCCTGCACTGAGTGCTGGCACCAAGCAGAGGCACTCTTCCTGTGGCTGCTGTCATTTCTTCATCAGATGTCAACCTGGTTCTCACGGACTCCCTTTAACACCGGGGTCCTGGCTTTCCCTGAGTAAGAGACATGGGTGTGGCATTAAGGACAGAAGATGTCAACACATAGGATTGGAGAGAAAGGAATACTTAGAAACTAGAGTCATTGCCACAGTGTGGTTCACAACTGTGGATCTGCCTTACAAATTGGAAAACAGAAGGCAAATGGTGGAAATCCAGAAAAGGGGTTGATCTTCCCAACCAGGACCTGTTACCTGAGAAGACATGAGCTCTGTAACCATCACCTCCAAGCCTGGCAGGGCCTCCCAGGGCTCAAGGTGCCTTGGCTGCTTCCATGTATGGAAGGTTCTGATGTATTTTTCAAAAATGAAAAAATGTCGATTCAGGGTCAAAAATGTGTTGTCTGCTTTAAATGTGTATTTTTAATATGAAATTCCATATAGAAATACCATGCCATATTAATAGAAATACAATGTAATTGTGGTTTTAAAGGTAGCCACAGTCACAGTCCCCAGCACTATGGCCTCTGGAGTTACGGAAAGTGATGACATCATCAACATTTTACTGATATAATAGAAAGGGACCAGAGGATACCAAGGAAAAAAGAAAGCAAATAGCTATTTTCTGCTTAAATCATGACAACAAAGAATAAAACTAGAAGCAATGATCGAGGAAGCAAACCAAACCTTGGTGGGTCCCAAGAACATCCCTACTCATCTTTTGTAAATGTGCTAATTCCTCAAAGATTGCTAACAAGCATTATACAATGTCACATAGGAGATAAAAGAATCTAAGAAAAAAAGACCCTGTATTTATATTCTGGGCTCCAGAAAGTACACATTTAAAAGGTATGATTTATATCGTCTCTAGAGATGTCATTAAAAATAAATTTACATAGGTATTAAACGTAAGTGGCAAGTTGATGGTTTGGAACGGCAGTAAGGACCCTTAATGCTTAAAATCACCTAGATGGAACCCCTGTGAAAGGAAAGCAAGTGCCAGTAAGATCTAAGGATCTTCCAGTTCCCTAGGTTTGTAAACTGGATTTTTCTTTTTCCAGTTGGGCTCTTCCAACATAGTGCATGAAATAGCTATTCATTTAATCAGTGTCTGTCCTTTGACTGTTTAATACTGTTAGTTCTATGTAGAAATCAGGGAATACCCTCTCATCATATTTACTAGAAAAACAAAATCTTGGTTATGTGCGTCCCCTGAATAGCGCTCCAGTGCCTGGAATTGTCAATGGGAATTGCTTAGGGTTCTGCAAAGGGGAAGCTAATACACACTGAGAGTCATTTCCCAAAGGCGGCCCCAGGAGAGAAGAATTTTGTAGATTCTGCTTGGCAATCAGCCTTTGGAGCAAGACTTTTGTTGGTCTCAATGTGTGATAAATGGGTCAGATGAAAAACCTGGTTCTCTTTAACTTATAATTGCACCTGACTACAGTTCTCTGAGACTTGAGTATTCCCATGCTACATTTGTCTCAAAAAGTCAGTTTCTGAAATATGACAGCACATATATAACATGACACAGTGTGATTAGTTTCTTGCCACACCGAAAAGGAAACCCAACTGAATTGTTTTCATGGATGTCACCAAGTTACCATAGTACCTGCATCTACATTCTTGATACCTGCATGCTCTTGAAATCATTGCTAATTATAACTTTTGGTTCAYATACAATAAGCACAGGAGTTTTATGATTACCAAATGAGTTGCACTTTGTGTATTAGTCATGATGGCACTCTCTGTATGATAGCCAATTGAAGTATTGCTTTTTAGATCAAACTCCCCATACTCCCCATATACTTTTTCTCCTTTTATTTTAAAAAGGCACCTTTTTAAAAAGGTGGCTTTTTAAAATAAAAGGAGAAAAAGTATAAGTTGTGGTACCAAGAAAGTACTCCCATAAGCTAAGTGGTCCCATAGGTTTGGCATGGTATTGGACAGTGTATAGGTACGTTAGTATTAGAGTCATTTCTTTTGGGTCCCCCCAACACATTTTTGCAAGTTTCCTATTAAAGTGAGCTTTTTCATCGCTGTAATTGAAAGATCTGCAAAGAACAAGGTAGAGGAGGAAAAGTCTATTTGAGGCTCATGGTTTCAGAGGTCTCAGTCCATGGATGACAGATTTCATTGCTGTGGGCAGAAGGTGAGGCAGAACATCATGGTGGAAGGGTATGGTGGAGGAACATTATAAACTCCAAAAGCCACTCCCCACTTGCCTACAATTACCACCCAATTAATCCATATCAACAGACTAATCCATTGATTAGGTTACACCTCACAATCCAACCATTCCACCTCCAAACAATTCTTGCATTGTCTCACATACGAGCTTCTGGGGGACACCTCATATCTACACCATAACATGCCCCATTTAGAGATAACAGGGAAGATTGAGAACTTTGTGAACAGGATATTCAAGCCAAATGACCTCCATGCCACCTCCCTCCCTCATTCCTGGGGTGAGAAACAAGGACCAACAGATTTGCTTGATGTCCTTTCTGAGTGTCAGTGGTGGGTAAACCTGCAAGGAAGTAGACCCAAATTTGTCAAAAGGAAAAACTGCCCATTCAGGGTTTGCAGATAGGAAATGGGCTGCCTCTGGAGGTGTCAGTGCCCCTGTTATTAGAGAGATGCAGCAGAGTTTGGATGGTCCTCTCTTGGGGACCTTGATTAGAAGAAGAGCAGTGCCTCATACTGAATGAAGCATAATTAGATGTCACTCAGGCCCACTGAGTCTCCCCTGCAATCTTCCTCCCAATCCTTGGAGATAAGCCTCCGTGTCTCCCTGCCTTCCTCCTCTGGGAAAAGCCCAGTCATTAGCTCTTCATCCGACATTGACCTTTCATTTGTTTATGCACCAAAGAAGCAACAATCCAAATGCCTCGGATGCTTTTCACCTTGTTGCAAAAACAAATCTACCCTCTTCCAGTTCTCAACTTTCACTTTTTAAGTTGATTCATTGTCTTCCATCCTAAATTTTCCCATCCCGAATCCTCATGCATTACCTTTCTTATGGATCAAGAAGCCTGGATCTTCATTAGGACCTCAGACTGGAATGGTCTGGATTCCCAAGGGATAAAATATCTCCTTCTAGTAAGGACAATGTAAGTCTCTCAATCAGACACCAAGGAGTCATTGCCACCTGGGCAATCCACAACCAGGTGAATTGTATGGCTTATTTTGTCTCCATGGAAACAGAGTTTAAGTGATGCCTGTGGCCATGAAGCTCTATCTAGGGGCAGAATCTCCTCCACAGAGGTAGGTTGTTTTGTATGCACCTCMCTCTCTCCACTGACCTGTCAAATGACCTCTCAGGATTCCTCTATTATGAAGACCTCGTCAGCTGTGTGACCAGGGCAGAAGCAGAGGCAGTCAGTGTGCTGGTTAAGGAGGCCGTCTGGGCATTTCTTCCGGATGCCTTCGTCACCATGACAGGAGGGTTCCGGAGGTAACTCTCGCTCTGCTTTGCTTCTCCTGCTCTAGTACCCTCAATGGCTCCCTATCACATACAGGCTTCTGAAACAACACAGAATACATTTGTGGTCTGCTTCTGGCTTCCCTCTGCAGCTTGTGTCCTGCCCTCAGAGTTCATTGTAGCATCCCCAAAGGGCTTCAAATTCCCTGCACATACAGAGCTGTTTCTTGCCTCTGAGACATCACTCAGTTGGAATTTTCTCCCTCAACTGCCATTCCTCAAATTGTCACGTGGCTGACTTCAGCCTGTAAGACTCAATTTTGATGTCACCATCTATACCATCTATCACTCCCTCCTCCCCCAGGCTGGGTTGGGGACCTCTCTTCAGTGCTCCCTAGACACCCTCCAACCACTTGTTGCACACATTCTCCGTGATCCATCCCAATGTCTACCCCCACTAAGCATTAGAGCTRTTAGAGCTTAGCTCTCATGAGACCAGTGCATGATGCCCAGCATGAAGTAGGTGCTCCAGAAATCTTGTTTGGGTCACAAATGAATGAGTGAATAGATTCTTCACAGAAGTGTGAGCAGGGGTTGACTATTAAGGCATCTGTTTCATAAAGGATTCTTCCCTCCAACCTCTGATCTTTTTACCGGGTGACTATTGCTCATTCTGACAAGCCAAGCCTGAGAAAAAGGAAATAGTGAGAAATAGTGATTCTAAGAGTGCTATCTTGTAGTGTATGAACATCATTCTTCAGTTTGCTTATTGTCATGTCGTGTGTGTGTGTGTTTGTGTGTGTGTGTGTGTGTGTATCTGTCTGTCTATGTGTTTTGCAGATAAAAGTGAACAAGTAGAAAGAATAATCTTCTTTGTTACATTTTGCCCCCTGCCCGACCCCCCATCATCCTATATGTACTATCTGTGGCTTTTTTTTTTTTCCTGTGCCATAAATTTATTTAGCAAGGAATAGAGTTGTACAGTCAAGGATAATTTGCTTTTAAAAATGTCACAAGCATTTTGTGTTACAAACCTTGGCCTTTGGGCATAGAAACAAATAGAGTTTTTTAACAACTGAGAGCTAAAAATCTAATTATTTCCATTTTATACCATTTTTTTTAATTAGGGGTAAGAATATTGGGCACGATGTAGATTTTTTAATTACCAGCGCAGAAGCAACAGAGGAAGAAGAACAACAACTGTTGCATAAAGTGACAAACTTTTGGGAAAAGAAGGTAAGGAGAGATGCTAAAAATAGACCTGTATCCACTCGAGCATCATATTAACATGTTGAATTTTATAAATTATTTACCTCATAATAGTGTGATGACCATCTAATCAATTCTCAATTATTAGTAAGACATTGTCCCACACCACATGACCCACAATGAGATTTACCTGCTGTGTGCCCTAGAGACCCTGTTATGAACATGTACCTCGTGTATTTACACTCACCCTGTCACCGGAGGGGCCTCTGCGGCCACACGTTTGTGTCTGACAGGCAGAGGCAATACTTCACCCAAACCAAATGCAGGCGGGGCACTGAACCACCTGGGAAAGCCAGGGAAAATCCAGGAAAGCCACAAGCKAGGGCTGCAGCAGGACCATTCCAACCAGGATCACATGGTGTAAGGGGCGTCGCTGTGCATTGAATTCCTAGCTCTTCTGTTCCCGCCTGGACTTGGAGGAAATGAATGAAGGCAAGCTGGGCCAGCAGAGGTCATGACTCAGAGCCCTCACCCACTGACAAAACCAGGCCTGTGACAGGCTGGCCCATGCCCCATGGAGGAACCCAAGCTGAGCTAACCACCGCAGGCCCTGACTCCTGTCCCACTTAGTGAGAGCCYCATGTCACAGACAGAGCAGAGGGCCCCATCCTGCAAAGCAAGTGAGCCAAGGAGGCTGGGCTGGTGTTGTTCTGGTGCAGCTTCATTCTTTCTCAGTGGATCGTATTTGTGAGGTGGACCGTGTATACCAGCGAGAGGAGATCTCAGATAAATTGAAAATGAGAGCTAGAAACACTCAGACCCAGAGCCATGGACACTGGAAGTAAAGACCCAGCTGTGGAACCAGAGCCACATTTGCTTGTGAGTCTCTCCTTGGGTCCCTYTCAGGACACTGGACACAGTGTAACAAGGGTCCTTGAGAGTGGACACAATAGGCCCCACCAGGGGACATCAGGACAAGGAAGAGTTACCTACTCTGGCTGCTACTCTGCGTGGGTGGTAAAGATGAAAGGTCCCCCCACACACACCCCGACAGATGAAGGAGCACAGTGCTGGACCCTGCAGGCTGAGGCCTGGTGGAGTGGGCTGCCTGCTTGCCCACCTGCGCCCTTGCAAAGGGGGACCCATTGACCTGTGCTGAGCGGTGTCCTCATGCTGAGACTGGGATGGGAGAGGATGTGGCAGTGGGAGCCCTCTTTCCATTGGTCCTTCCTGGGTTTCAAGACTGTCATACTGCCATCCCCAAGCAGCCATGGGTGTTTTAAATGCAAGACCTGCAGTGGAGGCTGATGGTTAGCACAGGGGACCCTGCCAGTTCCTCGCTGTTCAATCCGGGGTGGCTCCCTAATCTTCCACGTTCCAGTTCCCTCAGTCTCTAAAACAGGGATGACAAGCCTCTATCCTTGCTAATGGGGGACTGAGAAGGTTGGGCACGGTGCTGAACAAATGTGGCTGTTAGTTATTGAATGTGCTGTAGCTTATTGAACTCTGCCTGAGAGCCTGACTCTGGGGCGGATGAGGGGACGTAGCTCCCTCCCTGTCACTCACTGACTCACTGACAACTTGACAGCAGGGAGAAGGGGCGGGCGGTTCTGACCACACCCCTGAGCTCCAGGCCTGCCCCCCAGTTCTCCATATTTAACTTTTGCCTCTGCCTCTTCTTAACCCAACTACACTTTCAGGATGATAAAGACCACAGCCTCGCAGACACACATGCGTATACTCCTTCACAGTGAACGGCTGCGCACCCTCCAGGTGTTTAGCAGGAACAGCCCAAGGACATCAGCTGAGCCACCTCCGATGATTCTAAATATTGCCCTGGCAGAAAGTTCCGTGGTGGGAGGTGAGATGGGAGAAGGCAAAGAGCTTGACAGTCTCGACCTTTGGGGAGGGATCGCCCTTGCCAAAGACTTCATTTGCCTGAATTCTAACACTGGCCATGTGTAGTTCACCCCAAGGAAAGGACACTGGCCAACTCTGGTTAAGGTTCACACCTGGTGATCTGGACCTTGGGTACAGGGCCTCTAACTATTCCCTGCCACCACATCTCCAGCTTGTGGCATTGCTGGGTGATCCAGATCGCTAGAAAGTAAAAGAACGTAAATTCGCTTTCCATAACCTCAGTTTCTGTATCCCAGGATCCAACCAACCCTGGAGGGAAATATTAACAGAAAAACTGCATCGGTGCTGAGCACATGCTGAAGTTTTTCATGTCGTGTCTCCCTGTGACAACCCTTCACCTAACATTTATATAGTAGGTCTTGTAAGTGATTTAGAACTGATTTACAGTGCATGGGAGGATGGGCTAGGTGATATGCAAATTTTACACACCTCCCCCCCCCCCCACTATAGCCAGGACTCATCTGTGGACTTTGATATCAGCAGGGGTCTTGGAAACAATCTGGAGGACACTGTTTTCACTTTGAGAAGCTGATTTGACTTTGAATAGGGGGCACTGATTCTGCTGAGGAGCTGGAGAAGATTGAAAGCAAAGGGTGGGAAGGGAYCTCAGGCTCGGCTAAGCATGTCCCACCTTCTCTAGCTCTCATTACCCTGAGATCTGGCTGCTCTGTCCCCTGGGAACAGGGAGGAAGGAGCAGGGAAATGCCTCTTTCCTAGTCAGGACTCTCTGTTTCCAGTGGGAAAAGAAGGTCATGATGGTGTGGAAATCGGGTGGCCCATGGGTATTGATGGGGAAGCTAGAGTCCAACCCTTAAAAGGAATTTTCATAGGAGAGAAGAAATGGGAGATGAGGCAGGGAACTACAGGACACAGAGAKAGACAACCAAAATCCCAGAAGAAAGAAGAAAACTGAAGTCCACATCAGGGGTTGCATATATGCTGACAATTACACCCTGCTGAAGATAGAACCCGACATGYAGAGGGGCGTCTCATTCAAGGGAGGACTTGCAAAACTCAAGACAAAGTTAACCAAGGATGGCTGCCTGTCTGTTACCACTCACATGTCACCGCCTTGGCAAGAGCAGCAGCACAATTCACTCCTAGGAAGCCAGGGKTGCAGGTGTTTTTTGAAAGGAAGGTAGAGTGTTATTACAAATCTGGCTTCAACGGGAAGCTTGCTAATGTTTTAATAACTTGCTCTTCAAATTTACATATTCAAATGTACATGAAAGTCAGCTACAATGTACTTGTTTTAGTAAGTTTCATTGGAAAGCGTTTTAATGGGCTGGTGGTTGGAGATCCCCTAAGGCAGCATTCATTCCTCCCACCCAGAGGTTCCTTCCAACAGCAGAGCTCCCTCCTCAACCCTCGAAGGGCCTTTATTCTTGCTAAGCTGCCTTCTCCCCAGATGGCAAAGGAAAAACTCTCCTTTCAATGGAAACAGTGGCTCTTGGAGGTCTGCAAAAGAAATGGAAAGCGTGTCCAAAAATAATGAAAATTGCCTCTCTCTTCCCCTCCTCTGTCCTGTGCTGTGAAGAACTCCCAGGGAGCACAKGGCAACTCGCCTGGCCGTGTCCCAGAATCACTTGGTAGCTTCCTGAGGAGSCAACTTCAGATGAGCTATCTACTTCTGCCCCACTTGCTCCAAGGCAGGCAAGAGACAAAGCAGCCTCAGTGCTGCTGAARATAGCAAGTCACCCTGCCCCAAAGTGGAGCTGAGCCTCCAGCCACAAACCTTGATCCACTTCAACCTGATCGTCGTCGTATAGCATGGGGACACGATCTCAAAGCCACCCCACCTGGCAGCAGCATGGCTTTTTTTTAATGGTTGGWTTGTCTTTCAAGGAGAGACGGGAGTCTCAGCATTGGCTGAAGAGTCAGAAGGAGGGAGGCAAACCCTCTCAAGGTTTTGCTGTTAAGTGGCTTTGGAACTCAGCCTCTCTGGTGGCTAAATTCTTTTTCTGCAGAGGGGGGATAAGACACTCGCTCACTCAGCTGCCTCTCCTGCTGTACCAGGTGGACTCTGGATTCGAGGACAAAAATACCCCTGCCTCCCTTCAGCCCTGCAAAGTTTGGTCAAGAGCCTGCTATAAGATCACAGACTCCCCTGGCGACCTTCCTGATGTCTTGTCATTTCTTTCAGGGATTACTTTTATACTGTGACCTTGTGGAGTCGACATTTGAAAAGCTCAAGACACCTAGCAGGAAGGTGGATGCTCTAGATCATTTTCAAAAGTGCTTTCTGATTCTAAAATTGCACCATCAGAGAGTGGACAGCGACAAGGCCWGCCAGCAGGGAGGGAAGAACTGGAAGGCCATCCGTGTGGACTTGGTCATGTGCCCCTATGAGCGCCGTGCCTTCGCCCTGCTGGGATGGACCGGCTCCCGGGTAAGTGCTACATGGACCCACAGGATGATGTTGGCCTTCCAGAACATGTAGGCCAGCTCTGCTGGGGCCCAGARGAGAGATGACAGCAGGAGGATGGGGTGCCCGTGTTGTATTAGATCAGGCATTCTACCCACACACGGTCATGCCAGATTCACTCAGGACAGAGGTTCCTAATGTGTGATCCCAAGAGCAGCAGCTGCAGCCTTACCTTGAAACAGGTTAGACTTGTAAACCCTCCACCCGACGTACACTTACTGACTCGGGAACTTTGGGGATGGGGTTTGAAAAGCCCCCCAGCTGATTCTGAGAGCTCAAGCATGAGACCAAGGAAGCAGAGAAACTAGCAAGTGGTGAAGAGCACAGGTTGGGCTCACCCTGCTCCACCTCATACCAGCCAGGTCATCTTGCACTCAGTCTTCCCATAAGGGAAATGAGGGCCGTGAGCTTGACTTCCTCCCTAGGTTCCAGGGATTTGGAGATGATGCTCTCAAAGCCCAGCAGTACCAGGTGTGTGGTCAGTACTGGATAAACAGCAGCTCCTGGCTCCCATCATTTTATGGTCACAGGAGAGRGAACCATGGACTCAGTCGCTGTGACATGTGCTCAGCCCTCCCAGCCGAGCTCCTCCTCACTCTTGAACCTGTTTCCCAAAGTAGCCGGTTGTTGCCTGGAATGAAATGGAGGGTTTTATACTTATTAACTGCACAATGTAAATGAATTGTCTTTGACTTAGAATTAAATTCCAASTGTCTTTGCTTTGGGCTGGAATTATCTCAGCACAGGATCTTARCCCTGGGATTTCTTATCCGAACCAAAAAATGTCAACTGGCAATGAAATGTATCTTTTATTCACACACACACACAAAAAAAAATGGAAAAATGAATGAAAGATACACCATAAATGTAATTTTTCTGATAAACATAGATCTTTGGGAACAAAGAGTTTGTTGAGGTAGAAGACAGTACCAAAAGGAAATCTTCGCAAGGTCACACAAGGTCATGCCAGTTGGGATTCACAGGCTAAAATGGCTGCCCTTTGCTTAGTCTGTTTTTAAGATAAAATGTTTTCAGCACATTCTGGTCTCTTTTTTCAAGAGTTCTCAGAAACTATGGCTCTTGGTTTTACAAGACACTGGCAGAACACCAAACTCACCCAGATTTTAGCAGGGTGACTACACAAGTTATTAAACCTTTCAAAACCCTAGTTGTCCATCTGTCCTTGTTAACAGTGATGCCCACCTCATAGCCCTGCTGCCACCTGGGTTAAGTGAGATGCTGCATGAGTTTAAATGTGCCAAGGGCTCAGCGTATATAAAGCTGGGCTAATTTGTGATTATCTTTATAACCTTTATGTCACTTAAGTGACACACTTATGGTGTGTTTTGCTGACCTCTACTGGCTCTCATCTGGCGCTCTGTCCCCAGGGGATAAGTGTTGGTGAGCAACTAGGATTGGTCTAGTCTAAAATTCCTGGTCCAGTCTAATGTCACCTCKGACCAGGGATAGTAACTACCACAAAGCTTCCTTGGGATCTTTGGGCCCAAGGACTTCCTGAACAGGGTCCATCTGCAGGAACACATGAAGCTGAGGTTTTCTGAAGCCACCCAGGTATGGTATGCCCTCTAGATGGTGCACAAAGTTCATTAGTTAAAAATCAAGAGAAATGTCTGTTTTCCCCTGAATCACATTTCTTCCAAGCAGGTCTGCTGAGCTGGTCAGCCTGGCTTTATTTCCTGGTGTTGTAGTCAGGTTTCTTGTTGCTATGAGCAAAAGACCTGACAAGAACAACGTAGAGGAGGAAAAGTTTATTTGGGGCTCAGAGTTTCAGAGGTCCCAGTGCACAGACAGCTGACTCCACAGCTGTGGGCCTGAGGGGAGGCAGAACATCCTGGTGAAAGGGGATGATGGAGGAAAGCCACCCAGGACGTGGTCACCAGGAAGCAGAGAGAGGGCTCCACTCACCAGGGAGGAAAGATAAGCACCAAAAACACACCACTAGTGACCCACCCCATCTAGCCATATCCCACCTTGCCTACAGTTACCTCCCAGTTAATCCATCCCAGTGGATTAATGCACTGGTGAGGTTAAGGCTCTCGTAACCCGAGGATTTCACCTCTGAACTTTCTTGCATGATCTCACACGTGAGCTTTTGGTGGACACCTCAGATCTAAACCACAACARCTGGAATTTCTTCAAAAGTATGGATCATGTATGTTTATGTCACATGTTGGGAGGAGGCACACAAATGATTATAGCCATACTTAAAAAAAGTATCTTTTCCTTAAGATACCTTACTTCCATTTGCCCTAAAATTGTCATAATAAACATGAAAATCTACAAAGAGCACACATAACTGTGCTGTCTAAAGCTTCACAGTGCACAACTTCCACACGCATATGCAACAGCTATGAAACAGCCCAAACTCTGAAGTCTGTTGGAGCAATGATACAGTCAGACTGTGCTACGACTGCTTCTAMCAATGTGCACCTCTTGTTATCTGAAACATAACATCCTTGCCCTGTCTGTTTCACAGCACTTACTTTATTTATTTATTTATTTTTGGTACTGGGGATTGAACTCAGGGGCCACTCGACCACTGAGCCACAACCCCAGTCCTATTTTGTATTTTATTTAGAGACAGGGTCTCACTGAGTTGCTTAGCAGTTCGATTTTGTTGAGGCTGGCTTTGAACTCCCAATCCTCCTGCCTCAGCCTCCCGAGCTGCTAGGATTACAGGCATGCACCATCACACCCAGCTAACACTTATTTTTAACGTATCCCATAATTAACTTATTTCCTCTGCTACTGTAAATTATCTATGGCCCCTGCTAGATTCTAGGCTCAACCAGGGCACACTGTCTTTCTTTTGTTCACTGTTCATATTCCAAGCACCCAGAACACAGCTGAAACTCAGCAAATATTTATTAATAATTTCATTACTCTCCAAATGGCAGACACAGTGTAATTCCTAATGGGATATGGACACTGCTCCTCAGGCTTTCACAGAGGAGCTTAGGAATACATCTGTCACCCAAACACCCAAACAGCAGGGCGGGGGGATCCGGGACAGCCCCTCATCAACTCCACTTGCCCCGGCCTCACCTCCCCCTCCAGTCTCTCCAGCTGCCGCCAGCCCACAGGTGTGAGCCATACAACCCGGCTAAGGCTGGGGGAGGAAGGACAGTGGCCAGGGCTGGGAGGTGGGAAGGTGGTGAGCCAGGCTGCACTCCTGAACCTTCACAGACCTGTCTACGCGCGGGAATCTGCTTCTCCCCAATTCTTCCGCAAGTCTGGCCCCATCTCCAGCCAGGACTTCTGCTGAACTGTCTGGTCAGCCAGGGACAGCCGGCTTCCCTGATAGGAACTCACCTGTTGCCACTAGAGGGCACAGTTACCCGAGGCGTTCCAAAGACAAAATTTATAGATCTTTGCTTCTCTCAGGAAAACCAGCTTCCCAAACGCTATTCATTATTCTCATTTTCAAAGCTCTCTTGTCCTCTTAGGCTTTGGGTTTTGCAGGTTTGCTCCCTGAAGCCTCAGAGCCCAAGTCTTGATTATAAGAGAAGCCATTCTGGAACAGGTGACTTCACAGAATCTTAGAAGGAGGAAATGGTAAAGCCAGAGGGGAATTTATCATGCCTATCCTCCATCCTTTGACCAACCAAGATTCAGAGAGGCTGGGTGACTTGCCAAGAGATACACAGCCAGATAGGGACAAGAATCCTGGAATATTATCCCTTTACTCCTTGTTCTCTTTTATAATAATAATATTCAAATTTTAAAGTAAAATTATTTATTTTAAACCTGGTCCAGTTTTACTTCTACACATGAGGCATTATTTGCCTAAGGAATGGGGTCCTGGGCAAAATACATCAGGTTCCTGTTCTCACCGAGCTTACAGTCCAATGTGCTCATGGGAGCACAGAGCTCTGCCATCAGTTTCTCCCTAGGAGAGAAAAATCACTCTGAGAACATTTAGTGGAGATAGATATTTCACTAGAGGGTCTCAGCCATCTCTAAACGGTGAATACTGAAGACATTTTGGACGTGACATTAATTTGTTCTCATGATCACTTTCCAGCAGTTTGAGAGAGACCTCCGTCGCTATGCCACACACGAGCGGAAGATGATCCTGGATAACCATGCTTTGTATGACAAAACCAAGGTAGTGCTTCCTTCCTGACATGGGAAACTTGGGTCCTCATCCCTAAGACTGGCCCCTGAGCACTTTCCCTGGACGGATTTTAGTGTCCAGTTACATTTCATTTGCTGTGAGTGTCCCATTCCCAGCTGATCACAGAAGAGAGCAGCTGGAAACACCCCCCCCCAACACACACACACACACATGCAGCTGACAGTCCCCACCTGGCCCAGAGTGCAACTCAGGGTCTTTGGGTTCAAAAAAATAAGCTAAAGTAGCCCCTAGAGCCAGGGGAGCAGTGAACAGACTGTTGCTATGTCCTTGGTGTTTGTAGTGAGTGGCTTCCCAGGGATCCCCACAAATCACAAACACCCCTGATTACCCTGCAAATGCAGAAGCAGTAGCATTCTGAGTGGATAAAGGAGAGAGACAGAGCTGCCCAGAGAGGGAGATGGGCAGTTGGCTAGGCTCACGAGCTATGTGACTCGTGCGGCATGCACACTAGCCTTGCTGTGGTCATGATCCAACTCACGCCTCAGGGTTACGTTACTACATGGATTATGAAACACCCAAGATTCAACTGTTATAATCAGGAGCACCACGGTCTGCTCTTATAGCAGTCAAGCACACAACACTAGGTTCTGAAGGGGAAGACGACAAAATAACTAGAAGCAGTGGTCCTTGCCCTCTAGGAGTTGATAGTCCAAATGAGATGTATTTAGTTAAGATGCCTCAGTTTCAAGTATGAACAGGCAAAGGAAAGGGAACTAGGTTGCTTACTGCAGTGTCTAGGGGTAACATTGGCTTAGGTGTAGCCGTATCCAGGTGCTCAGGCAGGCTTCCTGTGATGTTATATTCATTCGCAGGCCAGCTTTTTCCATGAGTCCCATTCTCCAACAGAGCAGAATCTCTTTCTTAATAGTACCAGCAAGAATCCTAGCTGGTGCTGTTAACTCTGATCTGCCAGGCTTGTGCTGTGTGCTTCTCCCTGGAGGTGAGAGCAACTCCATCTGACTTTCATGGGTTGAGAGTAGAAAGAGGGGATTTCCCAAAGAAATTCAAAGTGCTGCTCACAGAGAAGGAGCTGTAGGTGCTAGCAGGGAACCCCCAGAAGCCGAGCATGTGGGTGGAGATAGATTAATATGATATAATTTAGAAAGACAAATAAATACATAATAAATAATTTAAGCAAATAGGTACCTTCTATGTGCCCAGAACTGTGCTATTTACAAGAAGATACGTGGAGGAAGAGAGCAGTACTTGGTCTTGAAGAGATCAGGGGGTGGGAGCCTGGTGTGGTTGGGAACAGGTGCAGAAACTAGAGAACTCAACACTTAGTAGTTAAGTGTCCTATAAGTACTAGCAGCACATGATTCTGACTGCACATTAGAATTATCCAGAACTTTTAAATAGAGAGATGACAGGACCTCTCCTGAAGCTTCAATTTCTTTGGACAGGATGTGGTTCAAACTTCAATTAAAACAACAACAACAAAAAAAAAAAAACAAAAAAAAAACAAACAGCTCCATCTGGTGGTTCTAGTGAACAGCTGTTAAGAACTGCTAATGCCTGTTGCTTAAATGGAAAGATGTCACAACTTTATCTTAATTCACGAAGTATCATTGTTTTAGTCAGCTTTTTCACTACTCTGACTAAAATATCCAGCAAGAACAATTTCAGGAGAGGAAAAGTTTATTTGGGGGCTCATAGTTTTGGAGGTCTCAGTCCATAGACATCAGGCTCTGCCAGGGTTCTGCCCCAGCGAGGTCCAGGGGTCCAGGGGTTCCTGTGGTAAGTAGCGCAAAGGAGTCGTTCCGTTGGAGCAATCTCCAGAGAGAGAGAGCTCTAATGCAGCTTTCTCTGGGTCATTTATTACAATTTTTCTCATCATTATGGATTCAGAATACATCATTAATTATACAATTTCCAAATTTTGCCAAGATGTGACATTTCCTTAACAATCATTAGGGGTATAGAAAAATGTGACATCAATTTACATTTTTCCAAGATGTGACGTTTCCTTATTATGGGTACAAAATCATTAATAAAATGCGTCACTAATTTGCATTTTTCAGATTTTACCAAGATGTACTATTTTTCCCAAGATGTACTATTTTCTTATTAACAGATGCCAAACTACATAACCAGACTCTAAGTCTCTTAACCTGTTATTAACCTTTAAGTTTAAAGTACATCTGTACTTTATTTCCAATCTAAAATTCCCATCTAAAGAAGTCCCCTTAAATCTTATACAAAAGTCTATAAACTATTCTTAAAGCATCTTAAGAACCCATACAGCTAAAAACTTAAGAATTCTAAACTTAAGAATCTAAATAAAATAATATTTCTAACATTATTCTAAAAATATGTCTTATAAAGCTAATTAATTTCTAAATTTATTCTCATAAAACTGGTTGGGCTGCTTTCTCAAAGAGTTTCTTTGTTTCTTAGACAAGGTGCACTATTTCTTATATCTTTGTAATCTTTCTCACTGAAACGCAAGTTCTGAACCTCAGTCCACTTACCACCGACATTAACTATGCTTAACATAGGTCCCTATTGGAGGTAAAAGAGGATTTATAGAAAGGGGGAGAATGTATCTTTATTTGCCTTAACTTTCCTAAGTGTATAACATAACTTTCCCTTAACGAACAAAACTACCTATGGTGGGCTTTGTGCAATAAACATAATGATTAGACTTTCTAAGAGGCCTGAAATATGGGCTTGGGTTCTTAGTTGATATAATCAGTGTGGTACCTAAAATTCTCATGACCTTTTGGAGAATGATTGTTGTCCATTATCAGTTGTTTCCTCAATGTACTGAGATAGTAGAACAGTCTTATATTTTATCCTCGATATACTGAGAGGTAGTAGAATAGCCTTCAAGGCATGAGCTACCTGTTATGTTCTAGCCATCTGAAATTTAATTTGGTTTGGCATTAAGCATACTCATGCTTCCTGTCAGGAATATGAGCATGAAAATGAAAAGTCCCAATTACATAAAAAAGGGTCTCATGGTTTCGGTTTTCCACTAGCAAGGGAAACCAGCATTCATCAAGGTCACTGTGACCTTGTCAAGACAGTGGGAGGGGGAGCGCCTTCACCAAGGCTCCATTCCTCGGGGCCCAAGTTGAGGCAGGACATCATGGTGGCTGAAGGAAGCAGCTCACATGATGATCAGGAAGCAGAGAGAGAGACGTCTCCACTTGCCAGAGAGAAATATATACCCCAAAGCCACAGCCTCAATTCCCAACCTCCTCCAGCCAYAGCCTACCACTTCAATTACCATTCAGTTAATCCTAATCAGGAGATTAATTCACTGATTAGGTTAAGACTCTCACAAGCCAATCATTTCTCCTCTGAACCTTCTTGCATTGTCTCACATGTGAGCTTTTGGGAGATACCTCACATCCAAACCATAACAATCATATTCTTGGATGGAAAAAATGTAAAATTTACAGAAACTGGTTATGATGACTTATATATTCAGAAACAAAGTATTTTGTAATAATTCATTCTAATAAGTTTTACAAGTCACATTTTCACTGTATCTGCACTGAGATGCTTAAGAAAAATAACTGAATGCACACTATTTCTTGTTATGTTTTCAGAGGATATTTCTCAAAGCAGAAAGTGAAGAAGAAATTTTTGCACATCTGGGATTGGATTACATTGAACCATGGGAAAGAAATGCCTAGGAAAAAGTTATCAACATTTTGTTCCGGTTCTTTTCAGGTTAAATAAATTATGCTTCATATTTGCAAAGGATTCCTTAAGAAAGTTTGGAATTCTTTAGGACTTACTGAAATACAGATAGCTACTAGAAATAAGCTGCTTTGAGACATGATAAGGAAGCGTGTGGTAATGGGTGTTAACAGACCTTTTGTGCAACCACGGCTTAGAATTCACAATGCATTTTTCTAAAGAAATGGGGTTGTCACTGTGACCCACCAAGGAATCGTTCAAAACTCACTTTGCCCTCAGCATAGCTGTAACACTGGTTATCTTCAATAAAAATAGGAGGAAATGGGATGATGGTGTCTTCTTCACTCAATTATCATAAAATGTTTCTAAACACAAGTGAAATAATGGAATAATAAAGAGCTTGTGGTTTCTCTTAAGGGGACAAATGGGCTTAATTAGAACATGCAGAGACTCCAAGGGGGACTCTGGGCTCCTTCTGGAGCTTCGGGAGGAACTGGTGCTGACTGCTAACTGGCTCAGTGTAGTGCAAAGCCAGCAGCTCTCCCACCACCATGGAGCTGGGCTCCGAGTGCCCCAGCCCAGGGCCACGGCACGGGTAGATCCTCCCTGCTCCCCATCAGAAGGAAGTGCAGTGTCCCAAGCCACCTAAGGAATAGTTCCCTCCTTTTTTCACGTTGGAGTCCTTCTCAGGAAGGTGATCTCCTTAGGCTCTTTATCCCGGGCACCCAAGGGAAGGGAGGGAGCCTCTGGAACTTCCAGGGGCCAACTCTTTCTGACTGCGGCTCCCTTCAGGAGGACACAGACTAGGCCCTGTGGTCTGAAGGACCTAGAAGGCATCTGTCCCAGGTTTGGGGGCCTCAGCCGGCAGAAAAGCTGGAGGCAAACTCTGAGGACCATTAGCCCATAYTCAGGAAAGGAAAGCCAGAGGGAAGCGTTGACGAAGCCACAGGGAGGGAAGAAAAGGGGTGGTCCTGAGGATGGGGGGAGGCCCCCAGCAGAATCAGCTTCCGTGGAGATTCACCTTCTTGGGAATTCCCGTTCCTGTGGTCAGGTATTGCATGACACATCAGGGCTCCACGGCTCACCACATCCCGCTTTCTGTGTGTGTGTTTCCCCATTATGGTTTGACATTACCCAGGCTCCTCTTCCTGGGTAATGTTACTCCCCTAACCCAGCCCCACAACACAACGTTAGCAGAATGTCCTGGGACAGGGTCAGGGAGTGGCTGGAGGATGGACCTTAAATACAAGGAAGGCAAGAACAACCCACGCCCCCAGGGAAGTGAGGGAATGATTGCAACAGTCCTGTTAATGTGGGGAGATCCAGACCCCCTGCCTGAAGTCGTGGAGCACCTCGGACCACATGAGCTAATGTGTGCAGAAGGACACTCGAATCAAAGCTCCTCTAGACATCCCATCAGGCTTAAAGGGGGCCTGGGACAATGATCTCATGGAACCAAGGGTTGACAAAGGAGCACAGCTGGACATGCTGAGAAGCACACCTTGGATGAGATAGCTAGGACCAGCCACTCCGCAGACCATCAGGGGCCTTGGGGATCAGACGCATCACATCATGGATTGTGATCAGACGCATCATAATATAGTCTCCTGGCCCTTTTGCTGCTCCTGTGTTTTCCAGGGACAATATTCAAGACTGGCTGTGGTCGTGGTGAAACTGAAACAGGGGTACCAAGGATAATAGGTGCACAATTCTGGGAGGCTGGGAGGTGTGGCCTGGGGAAGAGATGCCCACCTGCTTGGCCCCCTCAGAGTCTACCCAAAGGCACCCTCACCATCTTGGTAACCAGAGAAATTATATCCTCAAAGCCCACTGAGGAGTCAGCAAGCAGGGTCAGTCATAGACCAGGGCCATCAGGGATAAATACTTAGAATTCAGCTTTCTTCTTCAATAAATCAACATCCTCTCAGAGGAGAGGCCTGGAAAACAAGGAAAATGAACATCAAAATGACGATGATAGAGAAAAATAGGTTGGTTAGTGCAGAAGTAAGGGAGCTGTCACCTGGAGGAGAGGAGCAATTGCCTGGATAGGACGATACAGGATAGAAACTCTAGGGTGTCCCGGGTTGTCCCTCCAGGCTGGGGAGACTGGGGATGACTTCACAGAGGACAGATCCCAGCTGGTTTTAAAGAATGGGAGGATTTAGATCTTCCACAGCAGTCCAAGTAAGTGCAGAGGACCCCCAGGTTCTACAGTCAAGAGGCAGCTGAGCCCGAACTTTCCTGTTTGGAATGAGCTTTTGGAAAGGATCTTCCCAAGACTTCTCTCATACACTTGAAAGAGAGGAAAAGGAGTTTTGTGCTGATAACAGAGGTTGAAGACTGGCAGCCCCTCTGCTAAAACAGCCCACAGGTGTGTTGTGTTTGGTCTTTGCTGTGTTTTAGGGATTTTTAAAAATTGTGACCAGTATTTAAAACTAGATAAAATGCACTTTTTTTTTCCCCCAGAGCTGGGGCTGTAGCTCTGTGGTAGAGCGCGTGCCTAGCATGTGTGAGGCACTGGGTTTGATCCTAAGCACCACATGTAAATAAATAAAGTAAAGGTAAAAAATTACAACAAAATTATAAAGAATGCACATTTAAAAAAAATAGGATGTATGGCTACTTTTGGAAAACTAGGCCGCACAGGCCTGTCCGTCTGCAGCAGGCATATGGGCTCTGGGTAGGCTGCGACACCCGGCCACCTTCCCACTGCTTCCCTGTTGACAGCGTCTGATCACAATCCATGAGATAGTCTCCTGGCCCTTTTGCTGCTCCTGTGTTTCCCAGGGACAATATTCAATATTATTTTAGATAGTATGTAGATGACTATATTTATGCTGATATAATCAACAAATATTTATTGAGAGCAGCCATTTTTCTAAGTACAGGTGTAGAACAGTGAACAAAATTGTCAGAATTGTCTATGATTATAAACATAAAGCTTACATTCCATAAAGGCATTTATTTTAATCTGCTACAAAAGCACAGTTTTCTGCTTATGGTGGGGATATAAAGCTTCCTTTTGTGAATATACTTGTCTAAGCTACAAAAGTGATCAGTGTAGGGGCAGGGAGGGAATACTTCCAGAGGCATGAGGATGTGGCGAGAATGGGGAGAGAAAGAGGAAAGCAGGTGACTAACTTTTGGGGAACATGCAGGTGGCCTTCCTGTCTTCACTAACCAACTCCTCTACTCTGATTCTCTGAAGGTCCCTACCAATCAACAGCCCCATGTACGATTTTCCTCATCAGAGAACCTCAAAGATTCTAATGCTGCTTTCTTATYTGAGAAGCTTTGTTGGGGATTCCATAAATTCCCTCTGCTGAAATTGCATATGATTTTTTTGCTCTAGGTTAGAATTTTTTTTWAAGGATTTATTGTTCACTTTTTTAAAATATATTTTTTTAGTTGTAGTTGGACACAATATCTTTATTTTAATTTTATGTGGTGCTGAGGATCAAACCCAGGGCCTTGCACATGCTAGGCGAGTGCTCTACCTCTGAGCCACAACCCCAGCCCCTAGGTTACGAATTTTATCAATTAGGTTGGTGACTGGTAATCAGAACTCAGCCATCCCCAGTGCCTCCTACTATAGGAACAGAGTGCCCTCTAGTGGCTATTAAAAGAACCTTAGGAGGCAAATACAGATCTTGGTGGATCAAGTAAACCAAGAATGCAGAGCAGGACCTTAAAGTCCTTCTGTGCCAACCCTCTCATTCTACAGATGATACACCAAGATCCCTAGACAGGGAGGGACCTTCTCAATGTCACACAGCAAGTTAATGACACACATTTTTCCGATTTAACAGAGTCTGTATACAGGCTGGTCTTCCCCAATTACCAGCTCTGTGACTTTGGACAATATTATTTAAAAAATGCACATTTTTTAACTTGTCCCTGAGACAAGTTACCTAATCTCTGAGACTTGGTTTCTTCCTCTATAAAATGCTGGTTCCTTTGTTTGCACCTTTCGGAGGATTAAATGAAGTAATGCTCTAAAATGTTTAAAGAATAATTTAGGGATCCTTTGGATTGGGGATGGTAAAAGAACAAGCTGATAATACCTCTGTGGAAAGGACAGTATTTTACTTGCAGGCTTCCTCTGTAGAAGGTCCCAAGCCCCTGGAGCCAGAAAAGGAGGTGATGGAGATTGAGGCAGTCAGCGTTTTGCGTCTTGGACTGCAGCCTTCCTGGATTTGGCCAGCATAGGGGACAGGAGACAAAGCCCCAGTCAAATGTCTCCAGAGTTTCTGTGGAGGCTAAGATTTATAGGACTTTAGGGTACTCACTGACCTTGATCTCTTAGGGACAGGTGAGAGCCATAGTTGGAATTGCTTTTGCCTATTTCAAATGAATTTTTATCAACCAAATTCACTCTAAGCATTTCAAATTCCTCCCTCTCACAGTACATCCCTGTAGCAGCCCGGAAACTCTCCCAGTTACCAGTTATACTCATTATTCTTAATGATTCATTTTGTGCAAACTTAAATCATCTCTCAAAACAAATTGCTTTACAGTCTACAGGACCAATCAAATTCACTTCCTAGAGTCATCGGTAAAATTGGCAAAGTAACATCAATGCCATGTACTTCCTGGAGTTGGCGTAAAAATAAAACAAAATAATAGATAAAGAATGCTTTTAAAACTAAAAAGTGCTATACATTTAGAAGAGATTAGTATTTGTCATATTATCCTGCCATAGCTCCAGCCCCTGGGGACTGCGTCTCAGAAAGGTAAGCCTATGACTGTAAAAGTAACAAATCAGTCATTTCAGACAGGCTGGCATTTATATCCAAGAGCAAGAATATAGTGTTCTGTCAAGAAATTTCTGAAGTACTAAGTGAGGGAGACCTAGTGACTCTCACAGTGGTGACCTTGGACTTGACTAGCACCGTAGCCTGCAATGCATTTGTGTTCTGCATTTCCATGGTGTGTAAGGGACAGTATTTTCACAAGAAACCAATCCAAAACATGTGTTAAGTGCTTTAGCCTCTCTGGTGAGGGGCAGGAGGCAGAGAGAGGTGTGATTATAGTCACACGTTGGGCATTTGCTCTCATGCAAATCTCATAGAGTGTACTTAACCAACTGAGATGGCTATGAGTCACCAGGCAATGCAATTTTATGAGACCGCTGTCATGTACTTGGTCTGTTGTTGGCCGGAATGTCAACATGACATTCACTAATGACTGCAATAAGAACAGGAGTCTTTATATTTACCCATGGAGTTGCTGACTTTCTTTTCTTGTGTAGATGCTGGTGTCTGATACCCTTATCCTTTTACTTGAAGGACTTCCTTTAATATTCTGGTAGTGCTGGTCTGC